GCAGCCATGGGCTTCTGGAACCGCGGCCGCAAGGGAAAGCACGACCGCGAGGCTAGCTCGTCGGCGGGCCGCTGCCGTGGCTCCGTGAAGGAGTCCGCATCACCACCACCGCGTTGGGCCGCGCCTGCCCCCATTCACCATCGGCCCTACGGCCGGCGGCGAGCGCAGTTATTGGCAGACGAGGACGCCGCTCCCCTAGAGCGACGTGCACCTGCCCAATAACTAGCACTTGTTCGCGGATAGGGTGCCGATTCCACCGGTGCCTGTGAGCGGTCGTGCGCTCCGCGAGGAGATCGAGCGCCGCCGCCTCCTCCTCCCCAATGACCTGTACTACGACGCCAGGTATGCCCCAGACTCCACCCTCTGGGACACTTGGTTCCAGGACGAGCATGACATGAGGCGCACCTCGTTCTTCGCCGGCACCTCGTCGGGGCCGCGGCGGCCACGTGAGCGCCGTGCAGCGCGTGCTCCCCAGGTGCGCGGGGGTACACGGGTGCGCGGCCTCACGCCCATGCCGTCGTCGTCACCTTCACCGTCTCCGTAACCACCACCACCTCGCATGACTGCGGAGGAGGCCCGACTCATGCAGCGTGTCATGGAGGACTCCATGCGCACGCACGATGAGCACCAATGGGAGGGCCTTGAGGAGATGATGGCCCTCTCTGCGGCCGGCGACGTCACCATCCCCGAGCTGGAGATGGTGAAGGTGGAGGACGTGATGGAGGAGCCGGTGGCCGCGTTCCACCCGGCCCTCGTGGGCCAACAATGGAGTTGGTCGTACACAGCTCCAAAGATGGCCGACGCCGTGGGAGGCGTGAACTGGTGCCCCACACCGCCACGGTCACCGGAGCGGGAGACCTCGCCACGGGAGGAGGTGGTGCAAGCACCTCCGGCCTTCCAGCACCGCCCCCCCCCCCCTCCCGTCTACCACGCACCGCCGTCCCACCTCTGGACACTGCCGGGCTACGGCAACCTCGTCAACGACGCCGATGACAACGGCGACCACTGAAGACGGCGACGGCATCGACGGGCATGACAGGAGCGCATGGACGGCGTTTTTTTTAGTTTTTTATGTTAATTATGGCAATGTAAACCGTGAAACTAAGCCATTCTGTGGCCGTAAACCCCCTAATTATGTTTATGTTTTTATGTTTGCATTTGTTTTATATTTTTTCCGCATTTTATTTTAGGTTTTTGCAAAAAAAAAAAAAATCACGTCCGTCCCGGACATGATTTGGTGTGCGGCCGCACCGACAACCCAAACGACCCAACCGGACATGGGCTGCCCCATTGCCGCCCCAAATGGACGAAAACAGTCCAAAACAGACGTCCCTTTACGATGGAGTTGGCCTTAGGAGCGTCCAGATCGGACGGCTCGCTCGCATCATCCTATTAAATATGACAGTTCCAGACGTCAAAAAGCAAAAATGACAGCTTATATTCAGCACTCCCAAATAAAAACCAGCCGAACAAAATGTATTTGCTGTCACATCACACTCTCTTATACATGGCCTTGGAAAGAGTGGACTTTCAATGATTCAAGCAATTGTACATATGAAGGGAAAACATATTAGCACCCAGGTAGTAACATTTGACATAGAAAATGAAGCAAGGGCCAATTTCAAGTAGGCTTTCGATGCTAGGTCAACCAAAGATTGGTCTGGGATGAACCATCGGAGAAACTCATATTTTGTATGGCTGAGATCCTTGAATAACAAACTTAGGAGCAGTTTAAGTTGGGATCAACTCTACAGCTACCGCAATAGGACAGCAGTTTATACTACACTGTTGAGTAGCACTAATGCATCTTGTAATAATGGGATTGCACTAAATTGTGTTGCAGGGTTCGCTGAAGTTCCAGCTAGGCATTCCCTGTCTTTATTACTCCCTATGGAATTTTTTATAAGACGTTTTCAGAGTGTCAAAAAAATTCTTATATGAAGTTACAGAGGCAGTACTACAGAAAAAGGGTTGATGCTAATTGGACTTTCCAGTGCAATACCACTGCTGATCAAATATATCTACTTCCTCCATTCCATAATTTGAACTAAAACCATGACAGGAATTATGAAACAGGGGGGTACTAATTAAAATCCCTTAAATTGCAAACTAATACCACTACCACAAGTGCTTTGCGTACAATAAAAGCCTCATACGATCTTATGCCAGCTGTGCAGAAAATAGAAAAGCCTCATACGATCTTATCCCAGCTGTACAGAAAATAAAATGGACGGCTGCTATCGAGTGTCTAAAAAGTACAAAGATCGTACAGAAATCATCATACGTGTGGCGGAACTCATATACAACTACTGATCAAACAGATTTGCGAATTAAGTACCCGTAGTTAGACCAATGTTTCACCAAAATTGCAAACTAATACCACTATACTTATCAAAGAGATTCACGAATTAAGTATCCCTAGTAGATCAATATTTCAACAAAATTGCAAACAAATACCACTACTTATCAACAAGACCATCTATGAATGATCAACAGCACAGAACATCAAGAATTGAAGCTAATTGATTAGCTTAGCATCTGCTAATGCCCAACACAGCCACGAGCAGAAATAACACAGCAACAAGCATATCCATAATCACTCGAACTATTACAAGGAAGAGAACAAAAGGAACTCACAGAGATGATACTAATCAAAACAATTTGCAATCATAAAATATTTCATAAAGTTATAGAGATGATTCAAAGAAGAGGGGTTCAATTTTCCATGCTAATAGAATGTGCCCTGCAATTGCAAGGTCAATCAAAAGTACATGGCTATCCTAGTGCATCAACTCCTTGAGGAAATTAAGGGCATATTGCTTAGGAAATTTCAATGCACTTGCAGCATTGATAAAGTGAAAGTTGTAGCTACCCGGGTTGATCAAACTCCTAACAAATCACTAAATTGTGTTGCAAAGAAACACAATAAGAGTTCATTGAAGTTCCAGCTAGGCATTCCCTGTGTTTATTTGTGATGATAACTGGATTTTCCAGTGCAACACCACTGCTGATCAAAGAGATCTGCTAATTAAGTATCCCTGCTAGACTAACGTCTTCAATAAAATGGCTAAAATTGCATACCAATACCACTATGATACAAGAGACTTGGGAATTAAGTATCCCTAGTAGACTAATGTTTTCAACAATAAAATCAAACACCATCTATGCAAGATAAACAGCACACAACAGCAAGAATTGAAGCGAATTTATTAGCTTAGCATCAGCTCGTTCCCAAGACAGCCACAATTGAGCAGAAATAACATAGCAACAATCCATAACCAATCATACTATTAAAGAGAAACTCGCAGAGATGATAATAATCAAGGAACGTTAAGGCACTTGCGTATTAACCAAACAACACGAGATCCAAGGGCAACGCAGCAGCACGATACTTAGATTGATCACCGAAAGGTCTCCAGATGCCTCGAAATAGTTTCACTTCACCGATAATAACCTAACTAGATAGACCACCAGTACCATATCGACAGAACGACTCCCAGCCTCATTACTAGTACCGTAAGACGCCTCGATCAGGCCAGATCGGAGTCGTCGAAGTCGGCGCCGTCGAAGGTGTTGAAGAAGCCGGCGAAGGGGAGGGGGCCCCGGGCCTCGTTCCCGCGGCCGCCCATGCGGTGGGAGTGGAGGAGGTCCCCCTCGTCGTCGTCGTCGAGGAAGCCTGCGCCGGCGGCGCTGCGGGGGGAGTCGTCGATGTCCATGAGCGTGGTGATGGCGTCGTCCTCCATGGCGGCGACGGCGGCGGCAGCGGAGCGCGGGGAGATCGGGGCGGCGGCAGGGACGTAGCGGATAGGGTTTTGGCCGGGCGTGCCGGGGTGGTGGCGGGGGTGATGGGGCGTCGGTGGGCCGCGCGGGGTGCGGAGCAGCCTTTGGTGGCGGGGCGTCCTGGCGTCCATCTTGTGGGTTGCGGCGGCTATTAACCTGGCGTGGCTGGCGTGCGAGGGTTTGGAGATCTGTGCGTGCCTTGCTGGCCCACGGCTTATTTTTATATGGACGGACGGAGACGCTGCGTTTTCCTTTCGTTTTCCTTTCGTTTTCCGTTTCCTCGGAAGGGACGATGGTGTTCTTTCAGGACGTCACCTTTTTTTTTTATAATCAGACGCTTATATATACGCACCTACACTCATCGCTATAAATATACGTGTATATCCTATTTTATGAGTACCTCCTACGACGTTGCCTCTTACCTTGTTTCTTTGGCTTTGCTGAGATCTCAGATTAGAATCCGCAACTACTATATTGGATGTCTGTCTCCCGAATCTCAATCAGAAAATGTAAAACAACATACAACAAACAATTACCTAAACAAATCATTTGGCACCTAAACAAAAAATAAGTGGACAGCCGATGATACTATTTACCTTTCTTTATCATTTTTGCAAAATGTCATAATTATCATAGTTTCTAAGAAACTACTACTACTACATAGGTGCACAAGATATGACGTCAGTTATTTTATGGGATGGTGATTTGAACAAATTGCAGAAAAATCACATTAGAGACCTCCGGTCTATTTTTATCGATTCCGCTTCAATTGCTTATTTCCACTGAGAGATACCAAGAAAACAGCTCCAAGAGAAGGACATGAATCTACAACGGCACAAAACACCACCAAAGGTTAAACCGCAAAGAAAACCCAACAGAAAGGAGCATTGGACAATTTTTCATACAAAAAAGGTTGTATTCGACAGAAACACTCCATGGAGAGTTTACTGCAGACCTTTTATTTGTTTATCTCAATTTCGTGCAGCGGCAACAATGGTGAACGGATGGGATTAAGCACTAGAGGCCTTATAGAATGCTGGAGAATGGAGAATGCTACTGTGCTAGTGGTCTTTTGAGTTGGAGCTGACATGTACATACAGCTGTTCTGATAGAACTGCAGTTGAGGTAGCTAGCGAGAGGGTAGCTTGACAACATTACAGCGGACTTGGTAGTACATGGGGCGGTCGACATCCTCATACTGCGAGCACCCACAACACAAGTTACTCCTCCCGCGAGCCATTCACAGCCGCGTTCACCTCTTGAATGTCCTCGGTGCTAGGAGCGGAACCTGTGAGACAGGGTGGTGAGATTAAAGTTTGTGCCATAGATACACACGAGAACTACGAAGATATCAAGAGGAAAATGACGGTGGAACCCTTACCTGGTGCTAAACGCTTCTGGTCTCTAAGACAATTGACGTTCCAAACATTTTGGCCCACCATGGCCTCAAGCTCAACCTTTTTCCTTTTCATAACCTTCATTTTCTGGTGCAATTTTGGTATTGTGTTCGCAATAGCTGCAGGTTCATCACAGTTGAGTAGGCATACATTCTGAACCAGAGATAATTGAGCAGAAGCAGTGCTTCTCGAATAGTAGTCTAGACCAAATTTTGATGTAGGGATATGATCTTTGTGATTTCTGCCAAGCATACTGTTAACCATGTTCAGCTGTATTTATGCTAGATACAAAAAGGATAGAACATTGCCAGACAAAAACTGAGAAGTCATAATTAAGTGTGAGAACCATCTGGTTGCTAAAGCTAACACGTCAGAGCAAAAAGTTCAACAGACGACCAAAGGTTGATGGTGTACTGAATTGTTGCTCATAAATAAATAACAAATGGATAACACTGATAGGTGCAGCACTTGCTACCAAATTACTAGTTAGTATCTCGATGGTCCAACAAGGAGATAGGGAAAGAACATTGACTTCAGGGCTTAAGGTGATAAGACTATGATAACAAATACTCCCTCCGTTCCTAAATATTTGTTTTTCTAGAGATTTCAAATGGACTACCACATACGGATGTATATAGACATATTTTGAAGTGTAGATTCACTCATTTTACTTCGTATGTAGTCACTTGTTGAAATCTCTAGAAAGATAAATATTTAGGAACGGAGGGAGTAATATCTGGTGTGGTTTCACACAATAGCCCTTCACTAATCATCTGAAGTGGTGAGTGTCCAAATAAATACAACAACAACAACAAAGCCTTTAGTCCCAAACAAGTTGGGGTAGGCTAGAGGTGAAACCCATCCAAATAAATAATTCAATAAATTTAAAGTTCTGATTATTTTGAGAATTAAATATTTAATGCACACCTTGTATATTCTCTTGAACAGATTTGTCTTCAAACAACTTCAGTACTTCAGCGATAGAGGAATTAAGGTTACTCTTGTATGTAGTTTGCCTTTCCAAGGAAGAAATTTCTCTTTGAAGTTCTTCAGATTCCTTGTTAGCCTAATTAAACAACACCAGAGTTTGTTAGATTAAGTGTAGATAATATTAACAAGCAAATTCTTTACGAGTAAAGTACTTACATCTGCCAGTTTTTTTCTCAAAGAATTAAGTTCTGCATCCAGTTCCAAATCAGAATTCCCTTCTTTATGCAACACCATTGCAGAAGAATTATCCTGATGAAGAAAATATATTATAATTATACTCATTTACATGCCTCTTGCTTTTTGAAATGCAGGTTGTAAAGTAAATATAAAATAATGCATGGCTTCAGTGAAACAAAATGTGCGCAAACATGTAATTTATTGAGTACCGTATTGCAAGCAAACTTTGACCTTAAGCTTAACTATATGTTTCACGCTGATTCCGTTTAGTAGATATAAGAACTGAACTGCGGATGACACTTACCAGAAACTTTGTTCTGTACCATAATATCAAACTGGAAAGTCGATGGTTATGAATTAATCACTTAGTCGTATTAAACTTCTATTTCCCTACAAACAGTTTAGTAAAATGGTGTAACTGATACTGAATAAATCTATATTTGCCTGTAGGGCATCTAGAATCGAAATCTAAGTGCAATAATTTCGACAAAGATGGGTAGAAAACAGATTTGCACTAATATATGCTAAGAATATAAAAGAAAAAGGTAGCATCCTATTTCAATACAACGGCCAACGAATTAATGATGTGCATTAGTCGGGCAATTCAAAATAAGACATCAATAAGAAATGTCCAGATATATTTTGCCCTGAGATTCAGAAGGTCTTGCTGATATTACTATTTATCATATTACTTCCTAGTTGAACATAATGTACACCACGAGCACTTAGAAAAACTGCACTTCAATAATATCATGAGCTACAACATAGGTAAAGAAAAGCTCAAGCTTTCATAGCCAAAACAAAGCCTAAAAGTCAGAAATGATGGAATGTTAATCACTGTAGAGTAGAGAGCAGAACTCAAATTCTCTAATTGGCTTACAAAATAGTTCAAGCCCGACTGGTATCAACTGTGCACAACTTTTATCTTGAAAGGTTTCCTTGTCAATTGCTGAGTCAACTGAATGAAATGTTTTTTTTTCACAAACGGGTGAATCAATATAAGATGAGGCATAAGTTTCCACATTATGAACCCCCAAGACAAAAAGTATCTTTAAAATAATCTATAGTAAGTCATGTGAAACAGGGGTGAGAATTGAGTGGATCAATTCATCTAGAGTGTTGGATCAAATTGAAAATTCTGGCTTGCTAAATTACTTTGAGATAAGAGACATACATCTTCAGGTGGCACAAATCCTTCAGGTACAGTTAAACACTTCCGAAGGCAATACATCTCCCAATTGTTCATTCTCTTGTCCAATACATGCTTTACCAAGTGGTGAATTTCATTTACTCCCTAAGACAAAAATCATCACAAAGTCCATAATTTCAGATGTTTCCAGCAGACGTTTTGACAAAACAATATACAGAGCATTTAATCATATGAAAGAATGTAACATAGGCAAAATAAACCAGTTTTTATAACTATCCTAAAGGATGCTATAGGTAAAACCAGATGATTTATAGGTCGAACCTAAAGTTAATATGAGGATTGTTCTAGCTGTTTCAAACTTCCAGTCAGTAATCATTTTACTTTCAGAAATTGCGAATAGTGTCTGGTATCAAATGTGTGACAAAGAAGACCTCATTCCTGGCACAATAAAGTGCCAAGACACTGTTTGCAGAACAAAGTAATATCCAGTTTGCTACAGAAAGGGATCACCAAGCATGTAAATATAAGTTATATATCCTCTACACCTGAAAGACGCATCTACTTAGGCAGTTAAGGCGACATTGCTACATAATTTCCTTTGGAATGGGTATACTCGAACATAATAAACCTATCTATACATGACAGATACAGTTCAGTTATCCCCACTGTGGGATTACAAGCAAAACAGAGCCATCTTCACATGTGCAAGCCACTGAGGGCGTTTAGTCCAGATTCAAACCTAACAGTTTCCCCTGTGCAATCACTGAATTAGATGAAGTAGCATTATTAGCATGTAAAATGCAAAAACTCTTGTCAAGACACCATTCTGGATCTGGTAGTGCCCTGACTCCCCCAAAATTCTGAAGGAGGGTTCGATTCTATTGGATCCGGAGGTCGGAACAAACCTACCCGTTTCAGCTCCTCGGCCTTATTGGTCGCCGTGGCGGCGCCGACCGCCGTGGGGGCGCCTTCCCTGTAGAATGACAGCGAAAGGGCAAAGTTAACAAAACCGGTAGGCGGCAAAGGGGGGCGAAGCGAGCTGGTGTTACGGAGAGGGGTCCGAGGCGTAACTGGAGGCAGTACTCGAAGGCCTGGAAGCAGATGTCGTCGACGAAGTTGAGGACCTCGTTGATGAAGGTCTGAGGGTTCAGTCCGAGCGCCGCCTCCGCCGCCGAGGTCTCGCCGTCCCCTTCCATGCCTCCCGTTGCGGCCCCTCTAGACTAGCGGGCGGCGGCCTTGAATCGTGGCGGCGTGTGTGCAGCTGTGAGTGGAGAGGCGGCTGATTGGACTGGACACGGGAGTATCGAGTAGCTCGGGCTCCGGCGGCCGGCGCGGCGGTTTCGTTCAAATTTTGCGCTGGCCGCTGCCGCTTTTGGGCGAAAACTTAGGCACCCATCAAAAAAACTTGGGCGAAAACTTTTTTTAAGGTAAACTAGAGAGTTCACGACATTCGGAATACAAGCAATCTTCGGCAGAACCCCTAGCCACACATGGCGACCCACTGCGAGAAACGCAGCTCCCTTAACTAGCAAGTGGGCCTTAAAATTATTGTCTCTACCCTCGAAACGGAAATCAACAGAAGAAAAATTATTGCTACTAGTTTGAATCTCTCGAAGAATAGGAGCATAAGATGGAACACCTGCAGATTTGATGTTAGAAATCACTTCTGCACAATCTGAGGCAATGGTGAGATCATGTAGATTCAAATCCCGGGCTAGAGCTAGTGCTTCGCTGCATGCATGTGCCTCCAGACTCGGGGCGGTGAGGCCATAAAAAACCATCGCAGAAGCACCTAAAAACTTGCCAAATTTGTCACGGCATACAACTCCCACTGCTCCTTTGTCTCCTAAAGTTGACAGGCCCCGTCACAGTTTAACTTTGCAGCCTCGCCAGGGGGCGGTAGCCACACTTTTGCTCTCGGCCATTCACTCGTACTTCATTTGCCCTGGGTCTGTGCAAGTAAGCTATGTCTAGCTCCTCCAAAAATCTCTTAATGAAATTCATAGTGGAAAGCGGGCTCTAAATTTATTCTCATGGATGGCCTTTCTCCTGTCCCACCAAATTGCCCACATGGTCACCAAAATCCGAGCTAGGTCATGTTGATTTGTCGTCTCAAACAGCCAAAACAGCCAAAGCCTCGCATCTTCGGTTTGGTTTGATATCACATGCTCGACCAGTTCATCATCCTCCAAAGCCCAAACACATCTTGCCATGCGGCAGATTAGTAGCGAGTGGCGCCAAGTGTCCTCCTCCGCTCCACATATAGAACAAGATGGAGAATCTGACATATGCCTTTCATGTCTAACCAGGCCGGTTGGGATTGAAGTATGCGCCAAACGCCACACGAAAACTCAGTTTTTTGAAGGAACCTTCACCTTCCATAGCCGGGTCCATGAGTTTTTGTCTGGAGCAATATTAGAATGGCCCGGCCGGTGCTCTAGCCAATCCTCTCTTTGTGTTTTGATAGCACAAATCATCCTGTAAGCTGACCTGACCGAAAAGATACCTCGCTTATCATAATGCCAAGCCCAGAAGTCCTCTTGTTGCCTTGTACTAAGTGGTATGTTGAGAATAACCTCGACATCAGCAGGTATGAAGTTCTCAGTTAGGGCTTGCTTGTTCCATGATCGGGTGACAGGATTGATTAGGTCCGAAACCACCATCGGCGGTTTCGTTGATCGGGTGCAGATGGCCCTCAACTTATAGTCTCTCGGCAGCCAGTTGTCCCGCCAAACGTTTCTGCCTGCTCCGGTGTCGATTCTCTTAATAAGCCCCAAGGACAGAATGTCGCGGCCCTCCAAAAGAGACTGCCAGACTTAGGAAGGGGCGCTTCCTAGCGTGGCGTTCAACAAATCAGTGTTTTGGAAGTAACGGGCTTTCAGAACCCGAGCGTTGAGGGATTCCGGCTGCTGCATCAACCTCCATGCTTACCGGGCAAGAAGAGCCAGGTTGAACAACTCGATATCTCGAAAACCCAGGCCGCCCATAAATTTAGGTTTTGACATCGTTTTTCATGACACCCATGTTGTTCTCCTCTCGCCATTTTTACTACCCCACCAAAATTTACGGATCAAACTGTTGATGTGCTCGCATAAACCTCGAGGTAGCTTGAAACATGCCATCGAATATGTTGGGATGGCCTGGGCTACAGACTTGATGAGGACCTCTTTCCCTCCCGCTGACAGACACTTCTCCATCCAACCTTGAACACGTTTCCAGATTCTGTCTTCCAAATATTTAGAAGATCCTTCCTTTGCTCTGCCCACATCTGATGGCAAACCCAAATACTTTTCAGTTAACGAGTCATTGTGTACATCAAGGGTATTCTTGATTGCTTCCTTTGCCGAGTCCGCTACCCCCTTGCTGAAAAAATTCGATGATTTGTCCACATTTATTCTCTGACCCGAAGCATCACAATAAACTCTCAGCAACCCGTTAACGCGTGTAGCAGACGCCTCATTTGCCTAAAAAAAGAGTAGGCTGTCATCGGCAAAAAGGAGATGATTAACCAAAGGGGCTTCCGGCGCCACTACAATTCCCTGAACCCCAATTTGGGACTTCAACAGGCAAGATAGTCCCTCCGCAGCAAGCATGAATAGATATGGCGAGATCGGGTCTCCCTGCCGCAGTCCACGTGAAGGCCTGAAACCATCCAAACTACCACCATTAAACAAAACGAAGAAAGAAACCGAAGTAACACACCTCATAATAGTCTCTGTAAATCTGGGACTGGAGCCCAACTTAATCATGACCGCTTTCAGATACGGCCACTCTAGCGATGGTATGCCTTCATCATATCAAGCTTAAGCGCACAAAACCTGTGACACACCGCGCACTCACTCGCGTGGGCCGGCCCATATCCTAGTCCTAAGACGTTTTCTTTCATTGATGTGGTCGGTTATAGAGCAAAACCAGGAGCTCCTATTTGCCGCATCCTGCGGCAAATAGTTGGAGCGACGCACACGGTGCCTCCACTGGGCCGGCCCATTAGAAAACCACGTGCGCATCACTAAAAAGAGATGTAAAAGTAAAGAGGTCGCGAGGATTCAAGGGGAGTGCAACACACCACTAGACCAAACGGGTGTAACTGATGGTAGGTAGCGCAAATATTATAAGAGCTCAAAGCCACGTTCGCATATGAAAACATTATTCGGAAAAAAATCATAACATTTCCTGAAAGAATGTGGTTTTGTTTTCGAAATTATGAATAATTTTTCAAACAGGTTCTTTTTTGAAAATGAGGAACATTTGTTTTGAAATGGAACATTTTTTTAAATGGCAACATTTTATGAAGTTCGAAAGCAAAGTTGGAAACGTGAACAAATTTTGAAACTCCCGAACAAAATTCGAAAACACAAACATTTTTTGAAATTTGTGAACAGTTTTTGAAACTCGAACATTTTTTGGAAATCCTAAACAAATGAAAACGTGAACCTTTTTTCTAAATGACAGCATTTTTAGAAAAGTTGAGAAAACATTGAACAAAAACACTGTAAACAACTTTTAAAAACAAGAACATTACTTGAAATTTCCCAATTTATTTTGAAAACAATTTTTTAGTTTATGAATTATTTTTTGAAACCATGAACATTTTTTCAAAAGCACGAACATTTTTAAAATCTAAGAACAATTGTTGAAACGTGAACTTTAAAAAAATAAAAATGAAGTTGAAAATAAATACACGTGAAAATAAGCGAAAACAGAAACTAAAAAGGAAGATAAAAGAAAAAAAAGAAGCATAAAAATGAAATAAAAAATGAAAAATTAAAGAAAACTGTGAAGACCATTAAAGTAACCGGAAAACTAGTTCAGAACCGAAAAAAACGGCTGGGAAACTCTAGAAGGTTTCTAAAACCGAAAACGCTGAAACAGGTTAATAGGCCGGCCCAGGTCAGCGCTTGATCACAAGCTCTCTGTGCGAAAGATTGACAGTTGGACGAAGAATGCGTCAAATAGGGTATTACGCAAAACCAGCCCATGACTCGGTTTTGAGCGGGAACTTTTTAGGGAAAAGAATATAAGGCAGGTGGAGATTTTTTATAAAACAAATATAAATCCAGATGGTCATGCGCCAGACGGAGTTTCCACTTTTTATGTGAATTATTTCCAAAAAATATGATATGGAAAAAATATGAAATTTTAGAAACAGGATTCCCAAATAGGTACGTGAATTTTATTTTATTGTTAAAATTAAAAATGTTCACATATCTTAGAAAAATGTTCACAAATTATGAAAAATATACGTGGGTTCTAAAAAAAATCATCGATTTAAAATGTTTGCTAACTAAAAATGATTGTGAATTCTAGAAATTATTGAAGAATTCAATTTTTCTCGTGAATTTTAAAAATGTTGTTGAATTTGTAAAAGGTATTGACCAATTTGGAAATAAAATATGAATTAAAAAGAATTTTAATTAGTAAAAAATAGATAAAGAGTAAAAAAATGGAAATAATGAAACTAACAAAAGGTAAAAGAAAAAAAAATGGCATGTCGTGTAGTGGGCATGTCCAGTAGCGCGTAGGTGTGTGTTTAGCTTTTTGTTGTTGTAAATAAGCGGCTCAAAACTGGGCCTAAGGCCATTTTTGCTATATAACCGATCTAATCAACGTGGGGCCGAGGACCCCCGTGATGATTTATTGGTGGGTCGTATTCATCGAAGCCCACAATGTCAAGATGGGATGTTTCGAAAAACTTGGCGCTGTTGGAAATATGCCCTAGAGCTATAGGCAATAATAAAATGGTTATTATCGTATTTCCCGTTCATGGTAAATGTTTATTATTAATGCTAAAAATGTATTGACTGGAATCTTAAATACATGTGTGGATACATAAACAACGCCGTGTTCATAGTGAGCCCCTACTAGACTAACTCGTTGATCAAGAGATTTCCTAACCATAGACATGAGTTGTCATTTGATAACATGATCACATCATTAGGAGAATGATGTGATGGACATACCCAACCGTAAGTGTAGCATCAGATCATTTAGTTATTTGATATAGCTTTCTTCATGTCAAGTATCAGTTCCTTAGACCATGAGATCATGTCACTCCCGGATATCGGAGGAATACTTTGTGTGCTATCAAATGTCACTTCATAACTGGGTGATCATAAAGGTGCCCTACAGGTATTTCCGAAGGTGTTTGTTGGGTTGCATGGATCAAGACTGAGATTTATCGCTCCGTGCGATGGAG